ATCAAGATTAGAATAAAAATAATATCCTTATTCATAAAATCTCCAAACCTCTTATAAACACGTTTTATTAAATGAACTGTTTTGTCTTTTTTCTTTTACACTAAATTCTCAATTTGAAAGAAAGTGATTGTTAGTAATGGGGACTACCAGTCTTATTGCTAGCAATATACCCCCCTGTCAGGTTGACCACGTGATTCTCCCTGGAAACCATCGTGCTGGATTCTATATGTATTCATTACGATGGGCTAACTGGCCTGCTTTTTCATTGTCACCTATCCTCCCTCAATGGTGCTCCGCCAGCGTATACCGTTATTGCAGACGGGGTTACCATTCCATTATCATCCATTAAAAAAATACTGTGTAATATGTAGGTTTTAGTTTTTATGAACAAAAACGTAAATCTATTACCAGAAATAATGTATGTTAAATTAATAGGTTGATTCGAAAAGTTGACAACCCTAAACGCGACGGTAAAATAACGTATGTTCTCATGCCTTATTATAAGTAACGTAATACATAATTTGTATACATAGTTTAAGTAATAACAGAAGCATGTTTCAAGGGCGTTCACATTTAAATAAATGTTTTTTTTTTTATGTACATTTTATTTTGGCCGTAAACCACAAAACATGTTTTGGGTGCGACTGTAAATAAAATTGCGACATGAGAATTCGAATTAAAATAATGTCGGATATATGACCGCGATCCTTAATAATGTGGTACCATGTAAATGGCCATGTACTCGTATGGCATTCGTACATGGCTACATCAGCGTTCTAGAAATAAATAAATCAAAATAAAGCACTAGCGATACGTCGCGGTTTTGCACGTTTTTTTTTTTAATAAAATATAGCCTATGTTACTTGCTGACAATGTACTTGTCTATAGGTGAAAGAATTTTTAAAATAGGTTGAGCAGTTTTGAGTTTATTCATTACTAACCAACCATCAAATCTTTCCTCTCCAAAATATTAGTATAGATTATTATATTTTATTTCGCCGTGTGGTCCCGGCATAGAATAGGCCACCCCATCCTTTGCCGGGGGGAAAGGGATTGTTAGGAATGGAGACTGAGAATCCCATTGCTAGCAATATACCTAACCAGGTCGACCTCCTCGCGGTGCCCCCTGGAAACTATCATGGTTAATTCCTGATGAATTCATCATGATGGGCTAACTGGCCTGTTTTCATTCTCATCAATCACCCTTCACTGGTGCTGAATTCATCATGATGGGCTAACTGGCCTGTTTTCATTCTCATCTATCACTGGTGCTCCGCCAGCGTATCCCGTTAGCGCAAGCGGGGTTACCATACCATTTTCACCTATCAAAAACCTTTCCTTTGCCGTGGGTGTCGTAAGAGGCAACTAAGGGAGGGCGAGTGATGGACAGCAGCGTCCCTCTTTAAACATCTCTAAAGCCTAACTGCGGTAGCCAACCCGCCTGTTAAGCGTGACAACTATTGGTAAAACCCCCCAAGGGGGAGGCTTATGGTCAGCAGTGGACAGTTAAAGGCTGGTATGATGATGATAGCTAATATATAAAACATATATAAATGGTCTACGCTTCGTCATCTATGTTACATAACGACTACAGAGGTGACAGTTTCCGGGGCTCACGCGCCATTGTTTCTTTGCTTGTCAATTACTTTAATAACTTTTCTTGTTTTTGGTCGTGCTGCCATATTTTTTTTTTCATTATCATACCTACATTAATAAAGAAAATTAACATTCTTAATTATCATTTTTATTTTACAAATAAATGAATCCCACGCAACTATACAACTATGAACGCCTGTAATACCTTTGTTATTACAGGCGTTCATAGGCTACGGTAACCGCTTACCATCAAGCGAGCCGTATGCTTGTTTGCCACCGTAGTGGTATATTGAAAATTAACCCAAATTGATATAAACAATATAAATTGACGACCGTGATATAAACAATATGAGGGCATATAGCAGGTAAGTGTAATATTAGATATTTAAATGTGAGTTTATTTGTTTGTTTATTTAATTTTTGTGCCTTAATTACGACTAATTGTTATAAATATTATCAAGAGACAATAACGAAATAGCAAAGTTATATCTAATTATAAATACGCGCATAATTAATTATCGCAAAGCAAAATTATATTTCAAACGGAACAAGTACCAGGAAAGCCGACGGCAATAATTTGTCACAGACGTTTCCTGCGTTCATAAAAAAAAATTAAGGTTCATTTAGATAAAATTATGGCTGTCAAGATTTGACAGAAACAGACGGAGTGAAACCATTAGACCTTTTGATGGGACCTTCGTTTCATACAAAATTTGTTTCAATTCAAATATGTCAAAAAGGCCAGCGGCACTCGCGGAAGTATAATAATACGATGCAATTTGTTGTTTAAAAAAAAGAAGCGAGCATTCTCCTACGTGTTAAGGTTTTTTTTTTAATTGATGATAATGCAATAGCAACGGCATATGCTGGCGAGGCACCAGTGAAGGATGAGGATGAAAAGGCCAGTAAGTTAGCCTATCGTGACAAATTCAACGATAAATTAGTGACGATGGTTACCAGAGGGAACCGCGTGGAGGTCGACCCGACAGGGTATATTGATAGCAATAGACACAAAACTCCCCATTACTAATAATCCCTTCCCCCTCATGTAAAAGCTATAAATTAGTTACAATATAATAAAAAACGAAGCAGTGGTTTATAAATTTATTCCAGACATAACCTAAGAATAAAGTGCTAGTGGGGGAAAAGGATTGTTAGTACCTAATACGGACTGTCAGTCCCATTGTTAGCAATATACTCTATCAAGTCAACCTCCTTGTGTTCCCCCCTGGAAACCATTGTGCTGAACTCCAAGTGTATTCATCACGATGGATTGACCTGTCTTTTCATTTTCACCTATCATCCCTCACTGGTGCCCCACCAGCATATATCGTTAACGCAGGCGAGATTACCATTACATTATCATCCATCAAAAATAAAAATACAACTGCTCTAAAAAAAGTTCAAGATATCAAAACAAAGATTCTTTGTTTTTGTTATCTTCAAAAAAAAAATAACAATTTGTTATTTTCAAATCATTTATTGACCAATATACAATTGTTATTATCAAATAATTTATTTATCAAAATATCGTACTAGTTGGACGGCTATTAATTTTTTTGCGCAAAGATAATTTCACTTTTTTTTTTAAATGCTAAACTGGGACAAAAAAACCCCGTTACCTTCGATAACACACAATAAGTACTGTATGATTAATACTTTTTCTTATTATTTGATTGCTTATCTACCGCACTCGTATAATGATACACTGTACCGACTTTATAATGGATTTATTACAGTTTATTCTATTGTTAAATGTATACACTAATATTACAAAGAGAACAGATTTGATTTTTGTTTGTTATGGACAATTTACCAGAGGGAGATTTTGTACAAAAGTCGATTGGTTGGATACCTCTGTCCCATTCGTGTTTCAACCGTGAAGCAGTTGTGTTTGTATGGCTGTGTTTCGGTTTGAAGGGTGCGATATGGCGTGAATTTACTGGGTACAGAGGAATAACAGCTGAGTCCTCAGGAATGGCAACGCATGGGGAGTATAATGGGCGAAACAGTATACTCTTTTATGTCCATGATACTGCTCATGTCTATAGGCGACGGTTACCACTTTCCAGCAGGTGGGCCGTCAGCTTGTTTGCCATTCTAAGTTGTATAAAAAAAAGTGGGGTAACTACATCATTGGGGGGGGGGGGGGGGGAGGATTGTTTTTTTAATGGGTGATAATAAAATGGTCACCCCGCCTGCGCTAACGGTATACGCTGGTGGAGCACCAGTGTAACCCCCCGGGGAAGGGACTGTTAGCAATGGAGTTTGACAGCCCCATTGCTAGCAACATGCTTTGTTAGGTCGACCTCCGCGTAGTTCCCCCTGGAAACCATCGTGAATAATTCTTGTTGAATTCGTCACGATGGGCTAACTGACCTGCTTCATCCTCACCTATAATTTTTCACTGGTGTCCCGCCGGTGTATACCGATAGCGCGGGTGGGGTTACCATTCCATTATCATCTATTAAAAAAAATTTACCCCCCGCCCCCGCCCCTTCAGATCATTATTACATTCTCAAATGAGAGTGATGACTATCATTTAGTTCAGTAGTCCGCGTGACGGAATCAACCACAAAACTACTACGAGCCATGATTATGCGTTGTCCGCGGTTGCATTCCGGTTTGTTACTAGTTTCCCACGACACGCCGCATACAACATGTAGTTCTTACAATGATAAACATTTATTTATATAATGAGTTATTTATTAATTTATTTTTATTAAATAAAATTATCTAAAACACGTTAAACTTGTTATAAGTTTAAAGTGTGTATCTGTAAGTAAATAATAATTATTTATTTATTTCTTTATAAAAACTTGTGTTTTTTTTTGATAGGTGAAAATGGAATGGTAACCCCGCCTGCGCTAACGGGATACACTGGCGGAGCACCAGTGAAGGGTGATAGATGAGAATGAAAACAAGCTCGTTAGCCCATCATGATGAATTCATCAGGAATCAACCATGATAGTTTCCAGGGGGAACCGCGAGGAGGTCGACCTGTTTGGGCATATTGCTAGCAATGGGATTCTCAGTCTCCATCACTAACAATCCCTCTCCCCCCAGTAAGTAGGTACCAGTCATCATTATCTTCCTGCCCTTATCCCAATTATTATATGGGGTCGGCGTAATATGTTTTTAACCACATTACAAAAAGATTTGGCTTAGTTTTACAATCGGCCGTTTGCTTGACGTCAACGCTCTTTGGGATTTAGTACTATATTTTATTTACTATATGCTTTTGTACATTCATTACTAATATAAAAATGACTAATATTGTAAATATAGTATGGTCCCGGCATACAATGGGCCACCCCACAATTGCGAAAAAATACCCAATCTGGCAACACTGACTTATAAAGTTCGCAGTGGATGACACATGCTTGACGAATTCGTGTGACAAAATCGCGACTCACACGTGTGGTTGCAGCAACGTGACAGGTGTCCAAGTTATTCTAATTGGACATGGTTGTAAAAAAAACTCGTAATTTTAACAACCGTTTACTTTTGATCAGTCTTCAAAAAGCCGGAGTTTTTTAAAATGGCTACTTTTTATATTACGCAAAATCGTAACTTATTTCAAACCGATTTTAATTATTATTTTTGCAATAAGATTGACTGCAGTGTTGATCCTGTTAAGCCTTAGTAGGTTGTAAGTAAATTATTTATTTATTTATTTTATTATGATTAATTAATTTTGTTATGATTAACTTGGGTTTGTTTTTGTGGAATAAAATCTCAAATTATCTATTGAAATTAATTATTATTTATAAATGCCACGAAATAATTAAATATTTAAACGGTTACTACTTTCGATCTGGTGGAAAAACGTGTCTACCATTCTAATTCGCATGAAGAAAAATTATAATTTTTTTATTACTATTATTTATTTATTACTATATATATACATTACTACGAAATGTAATATTAAATTATTTACTTGATAGATGTCTACCTCATAGCATTTATGGGTATTTATAAATAAATAAATTTTTTATTTACCCACTTGTTACAATGACAAATATAAAAAAAAAATTATAAACTACCGTCTTTGGAAGTATAAATTTAACAACTCAGTGTAGTTATTATGAGCCACCAGGCATCATCTGGAGCCAGAACCCAGAACAACCGTAACCGAGGTAATTTTTAAAAGTTCATCTCCTAAATCAGTAAGACCGAGAGTCAAATCCGTATACCTATTAATGCAAAACAACATGCCTACCGCTACCGTACGCAACGGAATTTATCAACAAACAATCAATATACGTGCCTAACAATAATAATCGATATTCTAACTTACCACACAATATCGGCACAGAAAAATCCAAGTTTTGATCCAACACTGTTTAGAACTTAACAACTCGTTTCACAACACACATCCAAATATCTTAAATGAAAATGAGCACACAGTAAATCCACTATGTTCCACAGAAAAACACAACGGTAAATCGTTTTTTAATCACCACAAATTTAATTATCGTTCGTTGTGATTACACGCGGTAAAATTCCGACAGAACGACACGCGTACGTCCGTACTCTATTACTTATCAACGACAACTAGGGAACGAATGAAGCGAGCGAACGAACTACGATCGAGTCGCACCGAATGATGCGAAACACGCACGAATGTATTATTGTAGGGTGCCGGCTGATTCTAGATTACAAAATATCAATAAATAGATTTCCACAAAAAAAAGAACGTAAAACGTTCAATCGTGACAAAAATATCTAATCGTGAACTAGTCACTATCACATTATTCTTATTTCAAAACGAATAAAATGCATCGATTGATGACGAGATGCTTCATGAATGTTAGATGTAAAATATTTGAATTTAGAACGCCAAATTCTTTTTTAATAAATAGATTTTGATTAGCGTATTACAATTCAAAATAAGAATATCCGCAGAACTAAAGTGACCGACATAGCCCGAAGGATAAACAAGCTAAAGTGCCAACGAGCAGGTCATATAAGTCGAAGAATCGACAACCGATGGGAAAGAAAGGATCTTGAGTATCGATCCCACACAAATAAATGCAGTGTAAGACGACGCCCTACTAGATGAAACGACGACCTCAAATGCATTGTAGGGTGTAAGTGGATGCAGGTGGTTTGGAATCGTTCCTTATGGCAGTCTATGAGGGAGACTGTGCTGAACAGTGGATAATTAACGGTTGATACGATGATGACGATGAAATATCTTTTGCTTGCAACGAGCAAGATTTTTCTACGCATTTTTTTCTATACAACTTAGAATGGCAAACAAGCGGACGGCCCACCTGATGGAAAGTGGTAACCGTCCTCTATAGAAATGAGCAGTATCATGGATATAAAAGAGTATACTGTTTCGCCCATGATATCTCCATGCGTTGCTATTCCTGAGGACTCAGGTATTATTCCTCTGTACCTTGTAAATTCACATCCCACCCTTCAAACCACAGCGATACAAACACAACTGCTTCACGGTAGAAACACGAATCGGACAGAGGTACCCAAGTAATCGACTTTTATACAAAGTCTCCATCTGGTACGCATAAACTGGCTAGGTTGTAATCCGACAAAAATTATTTGAGATCAACTTGGGTAATGTGAGTATCGCTTCGACATTTATATATTAATTTCCTTTGAACATTGAGGATAAAATAAAGGTTATCCTGCAATTTAATATCGTCCATACTAGTTCGACATTTAAATACATTTAGATAGGCTTCTTAATTTTGTTATTATATATAAATATCTGGTTATGTAGCTAATATATAGATATAATTATCCACTCATAAGCGTAAGTCCTCTTGATCGCAAAAATAATAATCAAAGTCGATTCAGAATTAGCAGAGATATCGCGTAACGGAAAATGTACATATCTAAAAGTGAATTGAGAATCAATTCTCTTTAATTGTTAATTAGAGTAACAAAATTATAGAAAACTAGAATAATTATTGTATCACAACACAATATTAATGAATGTTGGAATACTTCCGCCAAGCACGCTGAGGTAACATAAAGCTTTTGTTTCCATCGACTCACCTACTTTCGACCGTGTAATGTTTGTAGAAATGATAAACGCTACTGCGAGAAAGGTAAATATTTCGAGGAATAGAAAGCTTGATTTACATTTATTATTCCTTATGGGCATAGTTATAAAATTCAAAGTAGCGTAAAATAAAATTTCCTTAGTACTTCTCTGAAAATGTGATGGTTTTCATAGTAGATCTACGTACCTTATTCAAAGTTTGTGTGTTATTAATTAATTTGAAGTCATTCATTCAGTGTTTATCGGATTCGTACTTTTAGATAAACTTCAATAGATACTTCTTCATAGATAATAACGCATTCAGTTGTTACTTTTCACGATATTATTATTATAATAATTATAAAATAATATTACACTATCCGTTACTGAATATAGACCTTCCCCTATTGGGGCGTTATGCTAATAGTTGTCACGCTTGGCAGGCGGGTTGGCAACCGTAGCTAGGTTTTGGTGATGTTTTAAGAAGGACGCTGCTGGCCATTTCTCGATTTAGTTCATTAAGTTCCCTTAGACGATACCCATCAGAAAGGAAAGGGTGCCCCATTCTATACTGGGACAACTCGGCAACTGTATAATTGATCGATAGTAATTCCATTTATCCATTTATTTTTTTAAGTAACTACTCTGAATTCTTGTATATTTTTTGTGGGTATACCCCGTGAGACTACCGTGAGATTACTCCTTCTTTGGTAATTCAGAATTGATTTTAATATTTTATACATATATAATATATTATTTCTTTAGTTGAATGAAACAGATGAAAGAAACAAGATGGCATTTAATCTTAATGCTTTGGTCATAATTTAATTCCTCATAATAATCGTATTATTATCTTTATTTATAATAGGGGGTCATTATACCTATCAAATATACAATCTAAGAATCATATCTGAATCAATTTATCAATTTACTAAGCTGATGACGTAGTATTAGTATCAGTTAAGTGTTTTTTTTTAATATCATTTAGGTCACAGAATATAATAATAGGCTCGATTTTGAAATCACTGAAATGAAAATTTTTAATTTATCGTTTAGTGAAAGAATTATGATAATGTATGGATTTCAAGCCATTCTAACAACATAGCATTGGTGTATTTTTTTTTCCATGAGACCCTGATCTGGCATATATGAACTTTCAAAGATGTTATGGACGAAAAGATTGTAAGCTGGCATGGAAACACGGTGTCTTTAGAAAGGTAATAATAATATTATATATATTATTAATTATATATATATATACGCAGCAGAAAGAGAAAAAGAAACGAGTAATTGTCGTACAACAAAATTTGACAATTACCTCAAGTCACAAAAAAAATACTTAAAAAAAAACATAAGAAACTAAGAAGATGCGTTGTGTATCAACTAACAGTCGGCTGATACACTAGTCCAGGGTAGGCTGACGAAATCTCAACTGCGATCTACTAATTACATACTTGTTAAAATCTCAAATGAAACAACATAGTTCAGTACACAATTATGTAGTTTTTTTTTGTATACAAGTATTTTATTTTATTAAGAGGGAAAACATAAAATTGAAAATTATTCTTAGTAACTACTTGTTTATATTGGTCTGAACATTGCGTCTGAGCATCTTTTGTTAGATTAGCAAAATATTATATTTTTTTCTTGCCACGATCGACTGGACTAATAGTCGCGATCGACTGAGTCCCTGCACTAGAGTAATGATTTTCTGTAACAAATTTAATTGCATAGGTTGTTTAAATAATTTTATTTAATCCGCTAGCATTAGTATAAGTGTGATTGCCATCACTTCTGTACAAAGTCTCTCTCTGATAAGAATTTGGGATTAAAAAAACAAACGTATTGTTTAATTTAACTTGGATTAATTTGTGGATATCAATAAGACAATCAACAAATAAAATAAAATAAATGTAATCGCCGATAAGCGTTGAAATTCTTTCATACTAACTTTTATCCATGACTTCGTCGATATACGAAAACGATAAAGCGATTTTTAATGATAATAAAGAAGCCTATGACTTTCTGCTATATATAATAGTTCATGTATATCAAATTTTATAGTAAATAATTAAGCTGTCAAAGTACTAAGAGGCAGCTTTTACATTTATAATCTTAGTAAGGCGGCTTATTAAATGGACTTAAAATTTAGTTCAGTGTTTTTCAAAGTTTTCTAAGCATGACCCCCTTAGTATGTAAAAATATTTTGCTACTCCCTATCCCCTGCGGTTCCTAATCTACTTGTATTTTATAATATTACAAAAATCAGACATACATAACATTTTTGTTTTCAGTTTGGTGTCGGTTAAATGAAATAACATAAATAAATAATACATGATAAAGTATCTAAAAAATACAACAAACAGACAACAGCGACCCCCTTGTAGAGGCTTGGGGACCCCTAGGGAGTCGCGACCCACATTTTGAATAATACTGGTCTAGTTAAAGAGGCATCAGCTGGATTCGACACAAATCCATGTCACGCGAATAACGATCTACGTTTTTCTCGTATCTTATCTCCCTAATTAAGTACCTTTCAATATATAATGATGTAATGCTATTTCAAATTAAAATTAAATATATGATTTTTAAAACTTATATTAATTTTTTTATACGATGTCCATATAAATTAATTGTTCACTGCTAAACATATGCGTACTCCTAAAATAACAATAATTAGGAGTCTTTACGCTTGACGCTTGGCAGGTGGGTTGGCAACAATAGTTAGGCTTTGGTAATAGTTTAAAGGGGACGTTGCTGTCCATTCCTCGAACATTAAGTCCCTTTAGTCTCCTCTTACTAAACCCACGGGAAAGGAAGAAGTAGCGTATTCCATGCCGGGACTACAAGGCAATGGAAAATTTACATCTGTGTGTCGCAAAGCGCTTCCCCTTACTTTCGGATGAATTGAAACAATTGTCGGAAACAAAAACTGTAGCAGCAGCAGTATTTCCGAACCGACATGACATCATAACCATCAAGAAAAGAGCATATTTCCTATTGCACCTGCAATGTCTCTGATGTTGATCATGGGTGGTGGTAGTCACTTACTTACATCAGGTGAGCCGCATGCTCATTTGCTCCTGTGTTGTAAAAAAAAGTCGAGATCATTCAGATAAATTTATTATAGTTTACCTAAAGAATTCCATTATTTATCGTCTGTTATAAAACATAGAAATGGGATGGAACCCTGCCTGCGCTATCAGTATACACTTGCGGAGCACCAGTAAGGGATGATAAATGTGGATGAAACCAGGTCAATTAGCCCATTACGACTAATTCACCAGGAAATAACCTGATGGGAGGTAAAATAATGAAAAAAAAAATACTATACTTAAAGCTAAGTTTACTTGAATTACATTTTTTTTCTTTCTTTAAGATGGTTTCCAGGAGGACTGCGTGGAGGTTAATCTAGGTCATATTGCTAGTAAAAGGGCTTATATTTTTTATTACTAACAATCCCTTTCCCCTCCTCCTTTCCGGTTTGCTATCCTTTGCATAAAGGTGGATTTTAAATTAATCAAAATGAAAGGTTCCCTCTAGAGACTGCAAAAGGTTGTACAAAAGGATATAATAAGGTTTATTAAGGGTCGGCAACGCGCGCGTGACACCCCTGGTGTTGCCCCTTTCTGGTCGACCTCCGTGCGGTGCCCCCTGGAGACTACGATTGACGAATTTGACACTACTAATTCGACACTTCGAATTGACTTTTTTATTTTTTACAAATTTTGTATACTATTGAGGTGGCAAATAAGTATACAGCCCATCTGATGGTAAGCGGTTACCGTAGTCTATAAATGCCTGCAATGCCTGGGACGTGGTTTCTGATTCTAAATTCTACTATTGAAGGGTCCCGAGATTGATCACGATCTTACCTGATGGCGAGCGATGGGGCTCGTGGAACCCACGAATAGATAGATAGATAGATAGATAGATAATTTATTTGCATAACTTACAGCACACAAACAAAAGACACAAAAGCAATGTGAAAAAAGATAAAAAAGATACATGTACAAAAGATTAAAAAAAAAAAAAAACCAAAAACAAAATCAGAATGCATAATAATTTTTTTTTCTTCATGCGTGTGCCACAGTAATGCAAAATGGCCACAACTCAGCTTTTTGCTTTGCCCTAAAAGAGCAAAACACTGATATTCTGTTGTGGCCAAAAGTGAGCCGCGAAATAAAAAAAAATAATAAAAAAGAAAGAAATATAGATCAAATACATAGTGTGCGTTCGTTATACATTTAGAAGAAGGGTAGTCACTTAATTTCTATCAGTTTCAAGCACTCACAAAATGAATACCCAAATTATAATCTAGTTACATAAAAGCATATTAAAGAGGCAACAGCAGGCATGCCCATCGCTAACACATCCCTCCCAGACAACGGATGGAGAGAATCTGTTAAAGGTGTGACAGAAAAGTAATAAGACTAAAATATGAGAGAAAAAATGGGTAAGAATCAATTTAAACACAGTATAAACAATATAAATAAAATAGACTTACATATAATCATAATAATAATTAAATCCTTATAATATACTAAAAAGATAAACGCAAATAAATAATACATATGTGTATATGAGTATGCATATATTGGTGTATTAAGTACTACGTAATAGCCTATTTATATTTGCCTTAAATTGGTGCAGATTATATTTTGATATTAAAACATAACCTGACCTGCTTATATGCATCTATCACACTTAGTGATGGCTAACCATCGTGTACCGGTAGCGCAGGCATATTTACCAGTCCATTATCACCAATTTAATAATTCTAGTTTCTAGATACTATTATTCTTGTTATTATAATAAGCTTGTGAGGTCATTAAAGATGATCTCATGTATTGACTAAGACGTAGTTTAGATACTTATAGAGTAGTGGTTCCCAAAGTGTACGCCACGGCCTCTGGTGCGCTGTAAAAAGAATAGAGGGCGTTGTGATACGCTCTTCTTAACCATTGCCTGAAAATAAAGTTTAGGTAAACACGGTTACCAAATAAACAATTTACATCGCGCACGCTGGATGCGTCGATCACTGTAAACTGAACAATTGGAAACTGTCTCTGCATGGGAATAATATGCACAATTTGAAGTTATTGAAGTAGAGAAGGTAGATAAATGAATGCTTTGTTAGTTGTCCTTCAATACATAAATAAATAGAGATTGCGGCGTTTAGAAAGAGTAAAAAAGTTGTAAAAATTCAGCTTTATATTGCGATTATTTTAATTTTTGTGCCTATCTATCTAGTATCCTTGTATCTTCTTTCGAATACTAACGACTACAGTGCCTCGACAAAATATTAAACCTGTAAGTGCGCCGCGAACTAAAAAAGTTTGGGAACCGCTGTTATAGAGTCAGTCTACCTACGAACGCGTAAGTGATCGGGTGCAGAAATAAAGATGTCTACGGATATTGTAAAGTGTACACAGTGTAATATCGTTATAAACGAGCTACTATGTTTCGTGCAAAATAAAATTGACGTGATGGACGAAGAAAGTTTAATACGCCTCATTGTGGGTGGATTCTCAACCTTAGAAATAAATAATGCAAAAGAGTTGTTGTTTTCGTCGATTTCAACTACCGTCAAAAATATTTCAAGACGTAAAAATAGGGAACAAAAGGAAACAGAAGACATTATATGCGTACTTAAGAATACAGATCCGGATAAAACACCTATTTTTGTGGCAAAAGAATTACAAAAACTGCCGCCTGTAACTTTTGATCACATAGATGCCACTAGGTTGTTAAAGGACATAATCGTATTACAATCAGATGTCAAACAGATAAAGGACACCTATGTTACGAATGAGCGGTTAAATAATTTAAAAATTGAATTAAATAACATGAAATACGCATCATTAGTAAATTGTGACAATGTAAACAATAAACGAGGCGCGTATTTGTTGGATAGCGGACCGGCCGGGTTTTTAAATGTTTCACGTACACCCGCAAAAAATAGTACACCAGAGAAAAAAGATGTTTTTCAACAGTCTGTCTTACGATCACACTCGCAGGATAAAATAAATACGTCGCCGCAATCACAAACTAGCGATATCTCATTTGTACCTACAAATGTAGTTAATTCACCTCATCGAATATCGCAAATACGTGAATCACACACGCAGACAGCGGGTGTTACTACGGCATCGACGGGATCGGACTCTCGGCAGCCAGTCATGTTTACAATAACCAAACAGCTGACTGCCGGCACCGCTGCTCACACCGTAGCGAATCCTGTTAGTAGTGTGTGCATGAGTGAGAACGATAAGTCGATGGCAGGAATTGTTAAAGAAAAATGGAAACCTGAAAAAACACCTGAAAAATGGGTTCAGGTACAGCGAAAAAACATAGAAACAGAATCGAAAGTATTAGAGGAAAAGCTAAAATAAATCCTAAAGATAGATTTAAACCAGCCGATTTAAAAATACCATTATTTGTATCAAACGTTCATAAGGATACCTCAGAAGAAGATATTATGGATTATATTCTGCTGAAAACAAGGGAAACTGTTTTCCTTCAGAAAATTAAAATGAAAACTGAGCGTGGCTATAATGCGTACAAAATTATGGTGGCGAAGCATAAACTCATTATTTTTAAACGATGAAATTTGGCCCGACGGTGTGACATGCCGCCGTTTTATGCCTTATAAGAATACTATCGCGACTAGCGACAAGCAGATAAGAAATACTTCCATTGTTAATGTTTGATACAACTCTAATTTCATACAATTGTAAAAATGTAAAAAGATCCGTGGAGGGTATAAGACGGCTGTGTGAATCTGCGGATATTATTGCACTACAGGAAACCTGGCTTTTACCTTGTGAACTATCATATTTGGAGAATATACATAAAGACTTTGATATAACTACACGAGTTTAGGTATCCTCAAAGGGAGACCATACGGCGGAGTCGCATTGCGCGTAGGTCGGTGTTTCAGTATGTCTCTGTGGTACCGTGTGTAAATCCGCGCATATCGGCAATTCGTATTGATACAAATGATCGGTCTGTGTTAATTATCAGTGTTTATATGCCGACTGACTGTACCGAAAATTTACGGAATTTACGGATTGCTTGAGCATTATAAGTGCTATTATCGAAGAAAATAATGTTGAGTCGGTTTTTATTCTGGGAGATTTCAATGCGCATCCGGGTGAGCGTTTTTGTAACGAACTTTTGGACTTTGCTCTGGAACAGGATTGGGAGTGTGCAGATATTCATAAGTTAACTTTAGCGTCCGATACTTTCACATTTCTAAGTGAAGTCCATGGATGCAGTAGGTGGCTAGACCATTGTATTATATTTTCACCGTGTATTCATAAATATTTGTAAAATATGATGTTTATTGGTGGACCACTTCCCCTTAGTACTTATGTAATTTTAATGTAATTAAGAAAAAAATCACATTGAAAACTCCTGTTAACAATAAAATAAAGTGGGGTGAAAGGGAACAAATTAATGCCTATCGCGATGAATGTAATACCGAGTTAAAAAACATAGAAGTGCCATGCGAGTTTAAGGAATGTTATGGTAAATATTGTGATCATATAAACCACAGATATATTATAAATAATATATATAA